AGTCGAGCACGCTTGATGTGGACCATGCAGTTCCATGGTTTCCGCCGCGTCCAGCACCCTGCGGCATGAACATGCGCACGCGCCGGTATTGTCACAAACTTTGGAGGACGTTTAGCTGCCAAAACGGCAGGCCATTTGCTCGATGCGGCGGCCGTCGCAGACATTCATGTTCCGAAAGAAGACATTGGATGCGACTCGTGCCCTGTTTTGTGGCACGCCGCAGCTTTCTCCAACGCTGCCGAGCGTGTTCCGAGAACATCGAGCGCGGCTCCACAACGACAAGGAGAGGGCCCGACAGGCCTGGGCAACCAACCGTCTGAGCAACAGGACTCGGAAGCCAGACTCTCGCAACTCTCAAGCCGTGTGTGCTGCGGTTAGGGCACATGAACCGCCTGGGCCTGCCTCGCCAGCAGCAATTTTGCGCCACGTCGGCAATGCGAACCCCTCCTGCCGGTGCGCCGCTGGCTTCGTAAGTTCAGTGAGGTTTCGAAATGCTTCGTCACCAAGGTTGAAGGATTGCACACGGAGAGCGTCCGCCACAACAGTCGGGTGACGCTGGGGCGGGGTTGGCAAAGTGTTTGCTATACACTCCGGTGTTTGAACGCGGTTTCAAAGGCAGCACAGCGCGTCCGCCACCAAGGTCGTGAATGTGCATCGGGGCATCAGTGGCCAGCTGCACATACCCCGCAGGGGCGGGTTGGGGGTTGGGGTTGAACCCAGACCCAGGTTGTAACCCCGGGGCCGGGTCCAAAGGGGGGCGGGTCCCTGAAGATGTGGGTTGGGGATAACCCCAACCCTAACATCACGTTAGGGTTGGGGTTCAACTCCAACCTCAACCCCAGGTTCTGGGTTCGAGTTAACCCCAACCTGAACCTGGGATTAGGGTTGGGGTTAACCCGAACCTGAACCCCAACCAGGTTAAGGTTGGGGTCAACACCGAACCCAACCGGTTCGAGGGTTGAGGTTGGGGTGAACCCGAACCCCAACCGGTCCGCAGGTCGGGGTTGAGGTTAACCCGAACCCCAACCCCGGTCCGCAGGTTAGGGTTGGGGCTAACCCCGGTCTGCAGGTTAGGGTTGGGGTTAACTCGAACCCTAACCCCAACCACGGGGCCGCGGGCTAGAGTTGAACCCAAACCTCAACCCCGGCCTGCAAGACTTGCAAATGGGACGGCTGCAACGTGTGCAAAGGGGGGGCTCCCCCCCAACCCCCGCGTCTCTTGGAAAAAACTCTGCGCAGGAAGAAGCCCTTCTCTCTCTTATATCCTGTTTTCAAAACTGCGTTCTGTTAGAGTGTAGTCTCTGGCTGTTTCGTTCATAGCGTAAGTCCTTCTCCCGCTCCGGCCGGAACTTGCTCCAAAACGTGGCCTAGGAGGCCCGGGCTGGCTTTTAGAACGCCCGAAGGTGCGTGCAAAATCCATGCAAAATCTTTTGGGCCATAGTGCTGGCGGGGTAGAGGTTTGGAGGTTCGACTTCCGCTGATCCGGCAGAGCCTGCTTGAATTGCAGGGAAGCCTGCGGTGCAGACGTCGTCTTTCCTTCCAAAAACTCAAATCTGTACCGTAAACTCATGTAAATTCAGCAAGGACTGCACAGACACTCCAAGAACCATCAAATTCCACAGAGACTTTGGTAGAGACTTCGCAAAGACTCCCCGAAGACAAAGTGACTCAGAAATTTAAAGATTCCAGAAAGACCCCAACAGACTAGCCGAATTTTCACCGATGCTTGCAGACTCAACACACCTATGAGCACTGCAAACTCTGGACTTCCACTGCTTGAACAGTTTGTCTACGGTTCCACCGTGAAGAAGCCACCCTAAGATTCGTGCTGAATCGGTAACCGTGGCCGTTGCCCTTAACAAGGTTTATCACGTCTGCAAAATTGGTTGCTTGGAATGTCACATCTTCCACAGCGTGCTGCTCGTCAAAGATTGGAAGAAGATCCCAAATGATGACAGCGCACAGTAGCTCATCGGTCTGCTCGATCTGGGCCGTAACTTCCTGCACAGTTCCATTTCCCTCTAGGAAGGGCCTGTTCGCGTTGTTACCCGAAAGTCTTCTTACCTGGTGCTGCGTTGCCAACAGAAGGTGACAGCTCAGGAAAAAAACATGCAAGAAAATCCTTGAAGACCGTGAGCTGCGGGTATCAAGAACAACAAACTTGGGGTTTACACCCCTCCAACCAGATTGCGTGAAATCTTTGCCTGAGCCTTCCACTCGGTATGCCAGCACTGATCTATCCCACAAGACCAGTCTGATCTACCCATCCCGCTTGAGCACATGCCATTGCTCAGAGGCACCAAAAACGGACCCGAATTCCTGGCCTATTTTTGAGTCTGCTCCTCACACTTTTTTTGAATTCTCAACTCATTCGTTCGCTTTCATGGTTTTCTGCAGCGCCTCAAGCCGTGCTGTTGGATGGAGTGGAGTGGCTGCGCAAAGGAGAGAAATTTTAATCATTTTATTGAAGGAGACACTTCCGCAACTGCGGAGGCACGTTATGGTGCACACGTTTTCGCAGAGTTTTTCGGCCTTGAACATGAGCCCGTCAAATCTGTTGAATGAAGGTCGAAACAAGGTCTCGGTTGCTCTAGAGACTTCTTCGATCCGCAACCGCGAAACCCAACACACAACGTCAAATGCGAGGATTCTAGCTGCTTTTTTGCGACAATGACAGACGGAACAACTTCATCCTAAAAGAAGCAACCCACACGAAAAAACCCGACATGCTGCATTTGTGAGTTCCAATCAAATAGGTTCTGCCACCAAAAAAACACACTACCGGCAATAGATGCTGCTAGTACAATCACCTGACTCCAAGAGTCACAAAAACTTATATTTGTGCCATTTTTCGTTTTGCTAATTGGTTTGCCTGCACGACGTCGCAACATGATCGCATGGGACATTCTTGAAGGCTCAGAAAACGGCCCATTTTTGGGCCTGCACTTGGTGCCGGAGGGCCACTTTCGAGCC